CTCTGGTATTATTATAAGGACACTAATCTTAGAGGTCATCTAATCATGAACTCCTGGAAGTGCCATTAGAAAACAAAGAATTAAAAGTGACCTCAATCTCATTTGGGATTTCACAGACCAATTTAAAAAAGAGAAGGTTCTTTCTAGGATTGCCAGTGTGTAACCTTGTTAAATGTGTCCATTTTAAAGAAAGGAGGAAAGAAAGAAGCAAAAATTATAAAACCTATATGATCGGCGTTTCATAAAAGAAGGCATATTTTAGTACCAGAAAAGTAGAGTGGGTATTATGTCAGACTAGAGGACAGTCCTTGAAAAGTTTTATATTTCTAAATTCCTGTGGACCTGTGAAACTGGTCAAGGACCTGGATTTGGGAATCATAGCTTTTGGCGACTAGATCACTGTCTCCTTTAAGCAGAAAGGCAGAATGCCTCTTCCAAGATCATCCTGCACTCGCCTGGCCTGGCTGGACCCAGAGTCAATGTCCTCCCTAAGGTCACAGTGATCTAAGCTGTCCCAGCTGCCTCGAGTAGAAGGGGCATTTGGCCAACTCAGCGTGTGTGTGTGGACTTTATCATGGTTGACACGGCCCAGCATCAATCCCTGTGTAGATGGGAAGGAAGCAGCTTAGATTGTTCCAGGCTGATAGGTAGGTGGCAGTAACATGGATATGGGAGTTGGAGGGAGCTGGGTTCTGACAGTGCTGTCCTTATCTTCTCTGACCACTATGTTCCCACCTGCCACTTCCCTGGCAGGGCTGTGTGGGGGAAGGACATGAGGGATTAGAAGCACAGGGCTTGGCTGATGCACAGTAAGTGCTCAACACGTGGGAAGGTTCCCACAATCATTGTAGGGCCGGTGTCCTGTGATGTTCCTCTGAGCTTCAAAACCCCTGTACAGACCCAAAGATTTAGTGCTAAAGGGACTTAGAGAGCACACGACCCCTTTCTTTACAGATGAGCGGGAGAGTGGGTTGCCCAGGTCCCTCAGCTGCTGGCAGAGCAGGGATGAGAGGCAAAGGTCCTCACTTGCAGCCCGAGCCCCTGCCCTGAGCACGTTGCCTCTGACCTGAGGTCTCAGTCCATGCTGCCCTAGTGGGCTGAGGCTCCAGAAGGCAGCTGCTCCCTCTACCCTTTCCTTCTGATGGACTGACCCCTCTGGAAATTGGCAGCTGTGTCTCATCCCTGGTATCTGGCTGTTTACTCATTAAACCCCTGCCCTC